TCTGCAGGTGTGGCTGTAAACTATCAGCAGGAGGAGGCAATAATTATAGCCCCTTAGATCTTTGGTTATTTATTTATTTTTTGCTGGGTGTTCAGGACCAAGTTAAAGTGAGACCTGTATTGGTATGTATATATTTTTTGCTGGCTGTGTAAAATCAAGTTCATGTGAGACCAGCACAAGCCTAAACCTTCTACCAAATACTCAAGGCTCTCCATGATTTTGTAGGGCCTCTTAGCTCCTCTGTCAGTGTCAGCATCCACAGCAGGTCACAGTCTTGCTAGATCAGGTGGCTTCTTGTAGAAGCTGAGGAGGGTTTTTTTATTTTTTTTGACCGTCTTTTTAAGAATAATGTGTAGTGATTGATTGCTGTCATATGGGGTCTAACAATCTCCTTGAGCAAGAGGTTGTGCGACTCACTAGAATTGTAGGGTCTTGTAGAAAAGGCCCCCACTTATCCTGAATCCTTGTTGACCCTGAATGTCACATATGACATATTTGGTGTCTTCTCAGCTCTTAGTTTTACTCTGGTCTCCAAACTACAGTTGATGAACACCTAGGAGGATTAGTGCCACCAGCACTGTAATGGGTGTGGTAGGTTTAATTTTATGATCTTGTCCAGGCATCAAAATCTTTGAAACAGAAAACAATTATAAAGTTGTACAGAGGAAACAGGTGATTGGCAGCATCATGAGATTTTGGCGCAGCAATAATAATGACATCATCATATTAAATGTGAATTTTGCCAGTCATAGTCCCGCCCTGTGTGCAGGCTCTCCCTCCTGGCACAGTGCTCTCCTTTCCTGAATGTGTACATCCATTACTCACAGGTGAACAGAGCCCTCTCCCTCCTGCCATATGCGCACCCCTTTCCCTTCTTGAAACTTGCAGAGCCCTATTCCTTCCTCTGTTGTGCAGATGTCTCCTCTCCCCTGCCATCTGTACACCCCCTGACTGCTTGCTGTCTACAGAACCCTCTTCCTCCTTACCTCCTCCCTGCAGAGCATCCTCTTCGAAATGTGCAAAGTTCTCTTGCCCCAGCTATCCACATAGCTCTCTGCATTCTTGCTGTGAGGAGGGCTCTCTTCCTCCCTGCGTGGGTGGAGGACTCGCCCTCACTGCCGTGTGCACAGCCCACATTTCCTCTCCTCTGTACACGGTCTTCTTCCTTTGTACTGTATTCAGAAGCCCGGTATTCACTTCCCTGTGCACAGACCTCGCTCCCTGGGCTGTCCAGAGCCATCTTTCTCCATGCCCTGTAGAGACTTCTCCACCTCTTTTTGTGGAGAACTGTCCAACTCCCTGCCCCATGCAGAGCCCACAGCCTCCCCGGCCTGTGCAGAGGTCTCTTCCTCTCTGCAGCTGGCATACCCTCTTCCTTTTTCTAGTATGCAGAGCCCTCTTCCTCTGTGCCACATAATGAATCACTCACAAACCCAGAAACCCACTCCCATGACTACATGAGACTGTATGGGGACTTCAAGATGCAAACTAAAACAAGTGCCCTTTTCTTCAAGAGTTGCACAGCGCCCTCTTCCTCCCATAAGTGTACAGAGGAGTCTACAAAGGTAGGGTCTGCCTTATTCAGAGCCCTGTTTCTTACTGCTTTGTACAGAGCCTCTTTTCCCCACTGCTGTATACAGAGCCTTGCTCCTCTCTGCCCTGTAGATCCCTTATCCTCCCTTCTGTAAACGTCGCCCTCTGATTCCTTCCTGTGTGGAGAGCCCTCTCCTCCCTGCCCTCTGTAAGAGCTCTCCCTCCTGTCCATCTGCAGGTGCCCGCTAATGCCCTAACCTGTGCAGAGAAACCTTTTCTCCCTGACAAATTCCCTCCTTTTCTACTCTCTACTATGCAGAGCTCTCTTCCTCTCACCATGGGCAGAGCCTTCTCCCTCTAGTTTGTGGAGAGCCCTATCCGTTGCTGCTCTGTGCACACAGCCCTCCCTGCTGTGTGCAGAATGTCTCATTCCCTCCGATGTGTTGGCCACTCTACCTCCTGCCCTGACTGCCGCCTCTTTCTCCACCCTGTCCCTGTGCAGAGTGTACAGAGCCTTTTCCCTCCTTGCGTTTTGCAGATCTCTCTTCCTCCTTTCCTTTGCAGAGGTCTCTCTATCCTTCCTGTTGCTAAGATGCCCTCCTCCCTGACCTGTGTCAGCCCTCTTTCTCCCTGCTCTGTTCCTAACCCTCTCCCTACCTGCTCTGTGGATTAACCTCTCCCTACCTTTTCAGACCCTCTTCTTCCCCCATGTGGACAGAGGACACTTCCTTTCTGTTATGTACGGTGTCCTCACCCTCCCTATCCTGCGCAGAGCCCTCTTCCTCCTTGCTGTGTGCAGGTCCCTCTCTTTCCCTGCCCTTTGAAAGACTTCTTGCTCCCTGACCAGTGCAGAGCCCTCTTCATCCCTGCCTTTCACAAGTCCTCTTCCCTATGATGTGTACCGAGCCCTGTCCTTCCTTGCCAGATGAAGAGCCTTCTCCCGTTTCCCTGCGCAGTGCCCTCCACCTTCCTGCTCTCTGCAGAGCCCACTTTCTCCCTGGCCTTATGGAGCACTCTTTCTCCACGAAGTGCACACAGCGCTAACCCTCTCCTCTTCTGTGCTCAGACCCCACTTCCTCAATGCCCTGTGCAGAGGCCTGTTCCCCTCTACTATGTGCAGGGGTCTTCATCTTTCTGTCCTGTGCAGAGCCCTCCCTTTGCTGCCCTCTGAGGTTACTCTTCTTCCCTTCTATATATAGAGAATTCTTCTCCCTGCTGCATGCAGAGCCCTATCCTTATGCCTCTGTGCAGTCCTCCTGCTCCCTGCACAGTGCCCTCTTTCACACTGCCATGTTCAAACCCTGCTTCCTCCTGCTGTGTACTCAGCCATCTCCTTCTTTAAGCTGTGCAGAGCGTGTTCTCCCTGCCGTGTATGTAGATTTCCTCCTTCCTGCTGTATGCGGACCCCTTTATCCCTGCAATGTCCAGTGCCCTCTACATTCTTGCCTTTTACAGAGCGTTCTTCATCTCTGCTTTCTACAGAACCCTCTTCCGTGCAGCCCAGTTCAGAAAACTCTGCCTTACTGCCTTGTGCAGAGCCCTCTGCCCCCTGCTAGCTACACCAATGTCTCCTTCCCTGCTGCTTGCAGAAGAACCCACGCCTCTCTTCAACGTGCATTGCAATGTACATCCCCACTTTAGTCAATTATCTCTATATACTATACAAAAATTTTACTTAACTTGTTGACCTTGAATGGGATGTACGTCTCATAAGCTTTTGATGAAGGCAAAAAGTCTGAATCTGAAACAAAATTCTGTGACCATTAAGAATCCCTGTTTTATGTTTCTGAAGACCTGCACATCTGAAAGCCTGAATACACCATAAGGTTAACAAGATTTGTCATAATCATATAGCATTTTAAAATCTAATACCTTATTGTATTATTTCTTTTGATGATGACTAATGTGAACATATTATAACAATATTTTTAATATTTTAAAGTGCAAGGTCATGAGCTTGATCCATGTTACCAAAAAAAATTCTCTTCAAATTCTTGTTACTTGAATTTTTTTAGGTAACATAAATCAATTTCATGCAAAAATGTAAACAATTGGCAACCTTCAGCATTAATGGCCAAATCATTGAGTATTTTCATGACAGGATAGTGCCCTGTTCATCACAAAATGTCTGCCTTGTGAAACAGAAGATCCAGCTAACCCAATGGCCCATAATGAATCGCTCCTCTGGTTACACAGGGAAGTGAATGGGCTGGTCACATTGTGACATCCCATGTGGGGAGTGTGTGTATGGGTGTGTGTGTTGGGGTGAAAATGAAGAAGATCCAGAGCCAGACAATTCCTTGGAAGAGGACAACGGCCTCAAAGATAGCAAACACAGGGAAACGTTGAGTTTCAGTGGAGCATAGACCTGGAGGAGAAGTCAGAGCACCCACAGATGATGATGAGTCACTGACACAGAGCCACCAAGTCCTCAGGTTTAAAATAGGGTGCACTGAGAGCATGTACCTTACAGTCAATGTGGTTATTAGTGTGGTTATTAGGAAATTAGGAAAGCCTCTGAGAATAGTACTGGCAGGCCGTCACGATGAACTGTCGTAGTCACCACAGCCAGTATTAGCATCACTATCGCATCTGAGCCACTGAGACACTTACACTGTACCATCCTAGGTAGTGTTCATTCTCAACAACATAAAAAAATTTTGTTTTGTTTTTCAGTATTTGATGCTAGGGATTGAACCCAGAGCCTCGTGTATCGTAAGCATGCTTTTTACCTCTGAACTAGTTTGCAATGTTTTTATGCCTGGAGAGACCAGTGAGAATATTGCATCACAACCCAGTGGGGATTGTACTGTCAACCTCTGAATTAATGAATATCATTAAAAAGGAAATACAAGCTCTTTAGAAAGGTCTCTCCAAACTTCACAGCTGCACGAGTGTTAAAGTCACCTGCTCAAGGCACTGGGAAGAGCACGGGGCCCACGGAGTACCCTGATGAAGGCCAGGAGTTGTTAGTGTTCTGACGGTAATATCAGTGCAAGTTTACTTCAGGGACTTCCAGGCCTGAGATCTGTCCTGCCTGTGCATTGGCTTTTCAGCTTTTGGTTTCACAAGAGATTAATGCTCTGTTTAAGGTCCTATTTATGTGAAAAATCTACTGACAACATAGAACTGAAAGCCCCCAGCCCCCAATTTTATAGATGAAGTTACGGGGTTTTGGGACAATGAGACCCCCAAAAAGCCAGTGAGAGGGAGAGGGCACAGCAGGGTGACTGTAGAGCCCGACTCATCTTTGATATCTCTAGGCTGCTTTGGCAGAGTCACATCTCAGGCCTGACATTCCTGAAAGCTACTTCACAATGAGATCGTGATTATGGTTCTTTCCACTAAATGCCCTACTACATACAGTCTCAGATAAATACAACCAAAAGTTTTGCCAGAATTGACTTTTAAACCCAGATTTTCCCCCACTTGAAACCTGATTTATTAATTTACATCCTTGTACTCACCATAATTTCTCTCTGTTTTTCTAGATTCTCCAAACAATTTGAAAATTCGTGCGAGGAGGCGTCTGGAAGGAGAAAGGAGTCAGGGTTTGAAGGCAGAGGCTGAGGAAGGAGAAGCCAGCCTTACGCACCTCACCGTCAGTCTCTGCATCTCCCATGAACGTGATCTTGAAGTCTCTGAACCAGTGAGCAAACTTCTGCTGGGCTGCGGAGACACCTGCAAAGAAAGTATGATCATTAGCTGTGTTCTCAATGTGAGGCCAAGGGTTCGAGGAAATTTACTCCCTCAAAATGGGTAAGGGTGCTGTGCTCCCCCTGCACCTGGTCAGTGAGTGGCACAAGCCAGTTCCCATCAGCCTCAAGCTGGTGTGCCCTCTGAGTGGCCCCTGACTTCTGTTCTACACCCTGGCACAGAGCAGGTGATGGAGAAACACACACACACACACACACACACACACACACACACACACACACCATCTTCATTCCTTTATGGGATTATTTCACGTCATTTCCCCAAAGCACTTTCTTCTTCCCTGCTCACACAGGTCAGAACTTGCTCAGCTCCAAAGTTCGGGCTATGGCTCGAAACACACACCTGATAGTACCTCATGGGGCTGATGAGATCAGGCTGCCTGCCAGAGTTTCAAACATCAGGCCTTCCAGAAGCTCAAGGTCAGCCAACCAGCTACTGTGTACTACCTGCTAAATAGCTACCCCAGCCAGCCAGCAAAACCCAGAAAATTCAAAAATGACATTCACAGGAAACAGCCGCAGGGATGTGCACCAACGCCAATGACATGGTATAAAGAATTCTTCAAAAGCACTACAGAGGTCATCCTTTCTGTTCACTAGAGATTAAGAGAACTGTGGAAAATCTAAAATAAATTAACAGCTAGGGATATAGTTCGGCGGTGCAGCATATGGGTTCAATCTCCAGCATTAAATAAAAAGAAGAAAAAGAAATGAAAAACAACCCTTGTACTCATTGAAGTTTAGTCTCTAGCCCAGTGTGACACAGTTACTGAGCTGGCAGTGTAGCTCAGTGGTAGCACCCTTACACAAGGCTCTGGATTTGATCTTAGCATCATAGAAACAAGTAAATAATATGGGTGAACTTTTATTTTAAGATGACATACCACCCAAGGTTTGGTGTGTGTGCATAATCTCACTGAGTATTTTCAAGAGATACATGCAGTGGAATTCACTCATTTTCTAAGAAGAGCTACAGATTAGAGATATCAGTTAATTAGCACAATCACTGCTGCACAGGTGACAACTGCAAAGACTTGCTGTCACCCTAGCACCATCTATCCAGGCCTGGGCCTGAGCAGGGTGCTCTGCAGCCAGTGGTCTACACTGCTCTCCACGAAGCTACTCACAGACCTGTATTCTCCACAGTGAAGCCTAACAGCATCCTGTTGTTTGAAAATAAAATTTCATCTCCAACAAGTTGAAATATTGGGGGAAATGAGATCAACAGCTGCTGATCAAAGTCTTTACTTCCTATCAATAAAAATGGGTAAGAAAGTAAGCAATGTACAAATTAAACATTGTTTCTATAGGACTGTAAGACAGCAGGGGTAGATTTCTCTACTATATGACAGCGAATGGAATGAAAATGAGAAATATTTATTTTCGTATTAGAAAATGCTACTTAATTTTTAACCTAAGCATTAGGTATAAAACCTATCCCAAAGCCTCCAAAGACCAACTGTTTCTCTCCATTCTCCAAATTTTCTAATAATGCCCCCGAGCACTTTCAGCTGCCATCACATTTTGTTGTTGTGAATAGACTTTTTTGCATTCACAGTCAAACTGAGCCAAAGCTCCAGAGATTTCCCATGTACCCTTCACCCACAAAAATGACCTCCCACACTGTCAACATTCTCAGCCTGTGTCATGGTGTTTAAACTTCATTTCCCTCCAATCTAATTCATGTTTCTTTTACATTGTCAAGGTTATTGTTACTTTATAACAAAAGACCCACTGGGAGGCCTAAGTAGGAGAGGCAAAACTGTACAGCAGTTGGATGACGACAGTTGTAATTTCTTATCCTTGAAGAATGGAAGAAAAGCACAAATTACTGTGTGAAACGTGACATATCCCAAGCATGGTGTAAGCCCTCTCCTCTCCTGGCACACGCATCTCTGCAGTGCGACTCTGTAGCTCCCCCTATGGATGGCTCAGCTATTTTCCCACCTCTTGGACTGCTCTTATGTTTGATGGAATACTGGAAAAGCAACACTGTGCAATTCAGAGTCTTCACCCCTCAAACTCTTCACTCCCCTGTTCAGCTCTTAAAACACTCTGCAAACCACGTGAAGACGTCCAGGCCTGGGTCTGAAGAGCAGTAAAAACTTGCAGACCCAGGAACCCTTGCTGCCCCAGCAGCTGCCCACAGGAGCTCCGCTTCTCTGGGCTTGCAGGTAGTTGTGTGTTGGCAGGAGGTGTGAGATGCCTCAGTCAAGTCCAAGCTGACATTCAGAGTGGCTGCTGTTTCGAGCTGCCAGTTTGGGAGTGATCACTTATAAATAAATGGAAACCGAGCACTCAGGCCTTAATGCAGTCTGACTGTGTTGGAATTGTAAAGAGGAATGACTGAAGGTCAGCACACAGTCGCAAGGCATGAAGAGCTGTGCTGATGTGTCACTTGCATAAGGTAGAATGCCAGGACAAAGAACATGGAGAAACTTGGATGGATGTACTTTGTAAAGGAAGTGAAGGAAACTAACAGCCCGAAGCCACAAGAAAAATGCTCAGTTATTAGTGATCATAAAAGTGAACCTTAAAACCTCAAGATGCCTCAAAAATTATTAATTCTGGGAACTCCATGTGTTGGTGTAATTGTTTGTGTAGGAACAAATCTGCTAACACTAACAAAGATAGAAAGATTGGCATTAATTACTTGTTAAGTAATCTGACATTTTCTGGAAAACCTGATGATATTCTAAACCCCAGAATGTTGGCAAAACTTCCAAGACACAGCTCTCCGCATGGCTGTCTGTGAGTGTATCTTAGAAATCCCACGGAAGGGATCACAGTACTAACCAAATCATGGAGAAGACAAGTATCGGCCAATAGTGTGAATGGGTAAACTATAGTAACCACAGTTATACACGTGAAGTTAAGAAACACAAACTTGCACATCAACACAGAGGGTGCTCACAATCTTATTTGGACTGCATATTTGTATATCAATACCTCTACATTTTGTGATTGTACAGTTAATATTTGGGGGATGCTAGGGATCAAAACAAAGGCCTTGTGCAGGCTACATACATGCTTTATCACTGAGCTACACCCCTAGGCTCCAAAATAACATTTTACAAACCACAGCTGGCGTGGTGGGGGCATACCTGTAATCCCTGCCTCACTGCTTGTGCAAGCCCACGCTCACACATACACTGCCAGCCCTGCCAGCTCCACTCATCAAGAAGCAAGCCAAGGCTCTGCTCTGAAACCAGGAAGGTGGAACAGCAAAGGTCCTGGCAAACACCAGGGCTCTCTACTCCCCCAGCACGACTTGGACAGCTCCGAGGCCACCAAGATGCTTCTGATAGCACTGCCTTCAAAAGACCAAGCTGCCTCCTTGCTCTCTGGACAACCAGCAGAAGGGAGGGGCATCCCTGCCTCAGATCCTCTGCCTCAGTCCTGGCCCCTCACTGACATCTTCCTACCTGGTCCCAGAGCTGTCCTTTGTTTAGTGAGGGAGCAGAAGGAGCCTTCTTCTCCCTGCTCACCGTCTCCCCAGCTTTGGACCAGACGCTCTGACTCATGTCCTCACCTGAGGCATTTACAGGGGAGCAAATGCCCCAGGATGCACGTCTGGGATCCCTCAGTTCTCGCCCATGACCAGCATGCACTACAGCTGTTCTGACTTTTCATGAGAGCAAGAATAAAATAGGAAATTCAAGTCAGCAGAACTGACCCTGCTCACAAAGTGCATTAAGGAAGCTTGCTGTGACTAGTCCTCCTTGGCTTCCCTTTTGATCTTCTGCCAACCCAACACCCACAGCCATTGGTAGCAGCACTTTCTCTCTAGGGATCAGGTCTTTGTATTCCAAGGCCAGAATGCCATAGACCTAAAAGGTTTGCTAAGTGAATGGAAGAAATGGTCCTGTTCGAGAAGCAGGAGCTTTTAGGAGCCCATAACTGTCCCCTTCATCCATGCGCAGGGACCAGGGCAAAAAGTGCCAGAGGAGAGCTTTCTGGCTCCAAGCCCTGTTTCCAGTTTGCAGATGGAAAAACTGAGACCTAACATAAAACAAGGGAGCAATGGACTCAGTTCCCACAGAGACAGAGGACAGAGAAGGTGCCTCTCTGTTCAAGTTTCCTAACTCAGCCAGACCCTCCTCTGGCTTCAGAGCACTATGGTGGTGGTGGTAGGGTACTCATGTTCACAGCCTCCATCAGAGCAGCTGCAGCGAGAGAGTCGGGGATCCTAATGGCCTCTGAGGAAGCAGACTGATCGCAGTCTAAACACTAAGACCTGAGGTCTCAGCGGCCAGACTGTGGACAGGTTGAAGGACAGCCTGTGGCGGGGCTGCTTTGATGAGCTGCTCCTTCACCCGTCGGTGGAGAGTCTCCCACCTACCCCAGGCTCACACTGCTGATGATGACAACAGCAACAACATGAACTACAAATTAGGAACATTTCCACAGGAATCATGAAACACCAGACCCCGTCCTGGGTGTTTTCAATGGTTAACTCCCTCAAACCTCAACACTCCTGTCCTGGGCTGCTGATACTATTTCCTCTTTACAAGAAAATAAGACTTGTTCAAGGCTGCACACTGCCAGCCAGAGATGCAAAGAGGAGTCATCCAACATCCAAGCCATGTTCCTTGCCCCTCCACTCTGCTGCCTTGCTGGTGGAACTGTCTCTGCTCTGGCCGCAGGTCCAGAGGCTTCACTGCCTCTCAGCAGGGACAGTGGCACTATTACTTGTTGGCTCCATCTTGCAGAATAAAACTCAACTGCAAGATTTTATGGGTAAGTGGGTTGGGGTAGAGGCATCAAAGAGGGAGACACAGGCTGCCTGGTGGAACACGGAGGGATTACCCTGAGGGAGCTGCCCATACAAAGGCCACATGCTTCCCAGCCACCCAGAAGACGACCTGGGAGGGCAGGGGACTTGCCCCGGAGAGCTGAGCTGAGCTGAGGCCAGGCTGGGCCTGGCATACAGTTCTCCTGCTCCTTGGCAACAGGTTCTTCCTA